TGCAATCATGTAAAAGTAAATCAATAAAAATACTCCACTTGTTCCGGCTGATTCTGTCGAGATTTTTAGAAAATCGTTGAACGAGTCTTAAGGACAGTATTAGGTGACAGACCATACGGCGTTAATGAAAAAAATTAAGATAAATTTGTTTTTCATTCTGGAAAAACTTTGTACTTGGTGTCCGTTAGAAGAGATTCCCGTGAAAACCAAAGACCTGGAATAAACATTCTACAACTAATGACCTATAGTTAATCTTTCTTCTTGATCATACAGAAAACGTTAACAAAGACGTGAAACTACAAAGTTACATTTCAAGAGTTTAATATCATCATAATGTTTGGCTTCTGATTTGTTACCAAATAAAAGTAAACTAAGTCACATAGAGAATAAACAAAGAGCCAAATACTACTTTTAAATTATAAAGAAAACAATGTGGGTTTATGAATCGTATCAAAACAAATTTACAGACTACAACTTTCTTGTCGTCATTTCAATCCTAAGCCTAAATTTATAAGAAAGACAAGAATTAGAAGAGATAAAATATTAGAATACATCTTAAAAACTCAAGTATAATAAAAAAACGCATATGATAAGAATCGTTTATTTATATAACGTTTATAATAATTTCAACACCAGGTTTTATACTGAGACTAATATTTTCTAACACCCGCTGGTGGGACAGAGGTAAGTATATGCACTTATAACACTAAAAACCGGGATTCGATTTCCAATAGTAGACACAGAAGATAACCCAATGTGGCTTTGCTTTACAAATACACAAACAATATTTGAATAGTTTTATTACGAGTACAGCTTTTACAGTAAGGAACAATAATTTTAAAAACACGTAAGATGTTCTGATTCCTGATGCGATCATTCTCATGTACACAAACTGTAACTCGATAACATAAGTTACAGTATAACTCAAGCCAATGAATACAATAAAGATAACATATTTATTGTAAATACTTACCGTGGAATTAGGTTAATATTAATTAGTGACGAATACAGGAGATGTGTTATATGTACTGTGGCGCCATCTGATGAATCACTCTACAAATTATTTGTGTAAAAAATCTAACTGTGGCCTATATCATTCTAACTTCTAACACATGACTCTAATCGAATGTGAAGGTTATGTGTACATTATACGTCACAAGTTAAGTGTTTACTGAATCGTGATAAATACCTTACTATGAGCAACTTACGATAAGCACAGTACAATAAGTATGTGGCGATAAGTACAATACGATAGGTATACTGTAGTAAGGACCTTGCGATAAGCACAATACAAGTCTATTGCGGTAAGCATCTTACGATTAGCACTTTACAATGAGCACAAATTATTTACATATGTTAACAATCTACCTGAGTTGTTTCCGGAAATTTTTTTCTTGATCTTAATTAATTTAATTATTCGTCGTTCGAGATAATAACTTTCTGTTGAATACGGATTCTGATCGAAAGAGGGCGCTACTTTATTGATATCTATTCATTAGCTCACATGCTGATTGAGTTTCTGCCTTTAAGAATACCTCTACTGTGGCTACTTTTATGATCAAGAAATCCTTTATATATATATTACAGTAACGTAACACTAAAATAACTTGATAAATCTACCTGTTTTTAACAAGTAATTACATAATACTTCTGGTGTACTTAAACAGTATTAAGTGACTTTAAAGCTTCTCAAAAAATGAACACTACTTAAAACAAAAAACATTGATGAGATGTAATACCTGCGATAATGTGTTATAAAACAACATTTGTATTAAAGTTTTAATTTTCAAGAATGATATTTATAAGTTATAATTAGCAATTTATATCAAAGATTTAATATTAACAGCTTATGTGCATGGGTTAATGATATAAGTGTATAGAGAAAAGTAAAAAGAATAACGTGTTATTTGCAATGTTTAATACAGAGGTAGAATATATTTGATCAAAATGATTTTGGAACTTCACCACGTCGTTACAGTTTATATCGCTATGTACGGCCATGTTCTATCTCACGACCGTTTATCTTGTCACCCCAACCCTGTACGTAGTTTTCACTGCAAAGTGAATCATTGTAGGTTTGTCATGTTCAAGTTACACCACTCCTCCCTGCCTGCTTTCCGTAACCCAGAATACAAAATAACATGGCTTTAATAAACTTTCATATTATTGTTGTATATGTTGTCCCTAGATAAGATAGTTTTTGGAACCTTTTCGTATTACTGTTGCAGATATTATCCCAAGATAAAATGGTTTTAGAATCTTTTCGTATTACTGTTGCAGATATTATTCAAGATAAAATGGTTTTAGTAACTTTTCGTATTACTGTTGCAGATATTATCCCAAGATAAAATGGTTTTAGAAACTTTTCGTATTACTGTTGCAGATATTATCCAAGATAAAATGGTGTTAGAGACTTTTCGTATTACTGTTGCAGATATTATGCCAAGATAAAATGGTGTTAGAGACTTTTCGTATTACTGTTGCATATTTTGTCCCAAGATATTGCCAGATGATTAAATATTTCTTACAAATCTGTGTTATTACTGTTGTAGATTTTAGATAAAACCCACAATTAAAAACACAAATATAGAAACAAATAATATTATGTAACACTAAATCTGTGCTTTTAGAACACAATACCGAAAGAGTAAACTACATAACAAACACATTACAAAAGGACGTAATATTGTGAGGTACTGATAACACACGTTACAATAGGAAACAATACTGAGAGAGTTACTACATAACACACGCTTTACAATAGGAAATAATACTGAGAGAGTTACTACATAACACACGTTACAATAGAAAACAATACTGAGAGAGTTACTACATAACACACATTACAATAGGAAACAATACTGAGAGAGTTACTACATAACACACGCGTTACAATAGGAAACAATATTGAGAGAGTTACTACATAACACACGTTACAATAGGAAATAATACTGAGAGAGTTACTACATAACACACGTTACAATAGAAAACAATACTGAGAGAGTTACTACATAACACACGTTACAATAGAAACAATACTGAGAGAGTTACTACATAACACACGTTACAATAGGAAATAATACTGAGAGAGCTACTACATAACACACGTTACAACAGGAAATAATACTGAGAGAGTTACTACATAACGCACGCGTTACAATAGGGAATAATACTGAGATAGTTACTACATAACACACGTTACAATAGGAAATAATACTGAGAGAGTTACTACATAACACACGTTACAATAGGAAATAATACTGAGAGAGTTAATACATAACACACGTTACAATAGGAAATAATACTGAGAGAGTTACTACATAACACACGTTACAACAGGAAACAATACTGAGAGAGTTACTACATAACACATACGTTACAATAGGAAATAATACTGAGAGAGTTACTACATAACACACGTTACAACAGGAAACAATACTGAGAGAGTTACTACATAACACACG